AAATTTTCACAGGTGCCATCGAATTTAGCGCAGAGGTTGTTGATATGTGAAACGTAGAAAATTTTGTGAACATGCGATAAAACTTAACTATATTTTATATAGGATTTTAATACTATTTTAGCCTTGATGGCCATTTATTTTTAAAATGTTTTTAATTGATATAACCTAATACCAATTATATTTAATACCAGTTATAAATCTATTTTTATTTATAATACATGTTAATTTTATATGTTCAATAATACATCCTCCAGTTAGAATCTTCAACCACACAATTCCTGCAAAAGAGACAGTCAAATACCTGGGGATGATTCTAGACAAGAAATTAAATTGGAAAGCGCACATAGTCACTAAACGGGCACACATGGAACACATAAGAAGAACTTTACACTGGTTGTTGGGTAGTCAATCAGAACTATCAGCCTACAACAAGATTTTGTTGTACAAAACCATCATAAAACCAGTTTGGACATACGGAGTACAACTATGGGGATCCGCCAAAAAAAGTAACATTCAAATCATACAAAGGTTCCAGAACAAACTCTTAAGACAAGCAGTGGGAGCTCCCAGATATGTCCCCAACTGGATGATACATCAAGACACTTGCATAGCCACAGTCACAGAAGAAATTAAAAACTATTCAATGAGACACAAACAAAATATTGACAATCACAGCAACGAACTTGCAGCCAAATTATACGACACAACTTTCGATTACAGACTGAAGAGAACAAAACTTATTCAGTTAGCACAATAAGGTTTTTAAGTTATCGTTTAGAAATAATGTAGTCCTACTCCTATATTTAATACTAGATTAGTTAGATTAGAAGATTATTATTATTATTATTATTTTTTGTTTTGTTTTGTTTAATCTAATATGTATAGTTTAATTTGATTAGTTTTTAAGACTACCTGGATCAAATCTAATTTAGTTTAACAACAATAATATCAGGACCACCACTGGCGGCCTGATATGCCCTTTCTATTTATATTAATCAAAAAAATTACTAGATGTCATATTTATAGACAGTTGTAATTACCTAATGAAATAAAAAAAAAAAAAAAAAAAAAAAAAAAAAATAATACATATTTCGAAAGAGATAATCCGCCTGGCGCCTACCGTGTACCTTCAAGTTATGTTTTATTTTTGTTATGTAATATTGTTTATCTTGTTACAAAATATATTGGAAATACAAAGTATATACTTCATTATAATTGACCCATATAAAATTGTGGTAAAAAGAAGGCTGTTTGTATGTGCAAACACGTTTTGTGCGAGAGAACTCAACTTTTACTTCATTTATAAACATATATACCTTTGTTTTTACTATAATTCTCAAACGAGTACAAAAAACTAGTGTCATTGTTTCGTTCTGTATTTCATCTATAATACGCAGCTTTTTGAATCATGTAAATATCGTTTCTCGTTTGGTTTTTATAAGCATTTTCCCGAACCCTTGTAAAACTGTGATATTCGGCCGGTTTTTCTCGCATAGGCACCTCCATTTCGCCCGGCACTAAAAGGGTTAAGAAATTCTGAATGCGAAAATTTTATTTTATAGTTATATATGTATAAATTCACAAAGTTTGAAATTTTTAGACATTATTAGTTTTACTATATTAATTAAATCACTAAAACTAGTGTGTATCGTGCCTTAAGGCAATTACTGGAACTTCCCGTACTCTAATGAAATAAGAATATTGAATGCTTTCAAATATATTATTATAAATACTGTAACTTTTATTATTCGAATTTATAGACAAAATAAAAGTGCTCTTAAATTGAACGATGGCGTTTAAATATGTTAGCCTGAAAATGAATGAACAAACTTAATGAAGCGGAGTTAGAAATTGCATAAACTGAATAGCAAAATTAAAATTATTTATTTGATTCGAATTATTTTCGATAATAATTTTTGAGAATTAAAAAATATGTTTTTTTTTAAAAAAAAACAATCTTGTCGTCCAAAAAAGCAAAAGCTTTTTGATTCATTTAAATCGGATTTTTCGTTCTCTTGAAAACTCGGTTTCTATCTTTGCTCCGTATCTCCGACTTGTATTTGTTAAAAACTAATCAGTACGTCTCCTCATCAAAAGGAATCGAATGTTCATTACATCATTCATACACGAAATATAACACAAATACACATACTCACATATAAAATTTTTCTATTGTATTCCAAAATCTTCAGAAACCTTCGAAACGTGAAAATGTGCAAACATTTTCGATTGCGATTTTTGAACGATTACAATAACTTACTTGCGGAAAGTTAAAAATATATACTGAAATTAAATGCATTTAAAATGCCACTATATTATAAGTAGATGCGAATTAGCTAATACAAAATTAGTTTAAAAAAACACGATCTTTCGCATAAACCACACAAAAGATACAAAGTACATTCAGCTATATTTTATTAGAGGTATATATTTTTTTACATCAAATGAAATTGTAGTACTGATAAAGAATGGTCACAATAAGGGCTTTATTGTCACAATGTTACAACTATCATCATATTATCAGTCGTTATTAGTATTAGCCATGTTTGGTTTTCTATAGTTAATAAATTAAGATAATTACATCTATAAATTCGTTTTATAACTGCTGTGATATAATTAATAACAGTGCCTTTACTTTACTTTAATTCAATAGTCCACTATATTTTATTTTATCAACAAATTCATTTTTCATTATTGCCATAATATTCCAATTATAAATACTATACTACCATAATCTATCATTTATCCTTTTATTAATATCTACCAATTTGTTTTGTTAGCATTCAACAATTAAAATTTCTGTCCAAATCCTATACATTTAACAAATTTTACATATTCAGAGACGACACACATTTAATATAAAAAAATATCATAATTTAGAAAAAGTACCGATACTTCACATCACAATACAATACATACTTGACTTGAATCCTTTTTTGTACTTTAAATGATTTAACAATGCGCAGATCTTTAAGATTTATTTTTGCTCAACAAGAAACTCATGAACAAATAAAATTATGTTCAAATAGTAGCACATACAACTAATCTATTTAATATCCAAAAGTATCCGTAAGAGTAAAACTAAATAGTGACACATTATAACTACAACTAAATAGTGACAATTTATAAATATACTGAATATTAATAAATTAATAAAACAGGCCAATCGCATATCATTTTCTTAATTTTCTAGAACAGCACGCGTTATGCTTTTATGTGATGGCTTACCATGCAAAACTCCGCCAAATGAAAACACAAAATACAATATTATTTAAATTAAATATGATTTAGTAGGCAGTTATTATTTATCAGGTTAAGTTTTTCGTACATTTTTCATTTTATTTTAATTTTAATTCCCTAAGTAAGACTTCATTTATAGGTCACAAAATATATACCGCATTTGCAAAAAAAGTTATTCGATAGTAGAAAATTCAATTTGCATGTCCCTCCCGAATGATATCCACATTGTATGTTGATGATCACGTTCTTGTCGATTATTGGACGACTTATTTGGGACATGACAAACTGGCTAAATATTAACCAATAGACAAGAAATTACTGAGGTAAACTCATTAAATACTCACGATTTTATAGGTCATCATGTTTGCTTTTGCTTTAGATGATTCAGAAACCATACATGATTGTTGAATTAATGTTATTAACAACAGTACTGAAAGAACTTATACCCTATTTATACAGTCATGGTTTTCTGAAGAAGTGAAGAAGATGAGAGAACCTTATAGTCCGCCCATTGATAGTTTGTAAAGTGGCATCGTCTGGGAGTAAAGTCGAATAATTGATAATAAATATTTGATAATAATATGACATCAAGAATATTTGTATAATAGTCTTTGTAAATGCATTTCAAGTGGCAAAGGAAAAGGTAAAGGAGGCCGAGAACCACCCTGGCATCACATCGGACAAAGAATTCCAGAAGATCCAGAGGAACAGAGTAATTATAAAAGCCTAGCGTTTTACCACCATTACATGAGTTACCGTGTGTTGCCAAAATACACCAGCGATTCATGAATGGACCAGAAGTAAGTGAAAATACTAAGTAAATTCAGTTTTTATTGACACTAAGGGTATGGGCGCATTGCCATACAGAATCGGCCCCACCCTGGTATTTAAATAATTTATACGTCATTTTATAGGTCTATTTGATAAAAACCGATATACCAATTTTCAACTTTGTACCTCATCTTATGGCCGAGATATCATTGAAAATATGCCAAAGTGGCCCCTTCTTTCAAACTCACTTTTTGGCGTAACCATAAAAGATATCGAAAAAATTTTTACGTGATTCTACTCACATTGACTCAGACCACATTACGTAGAACAATCGATTCTAAAAAATCGTTTACTTTTAGCTGAAAAAGACAAAATAATTTTTCAATTGATTATTTCGGGTAGTGCATTTACTTGGACCACTTTCTAATTAGCGTTATTCGAAAGCCTATTGTTTTTTCTTTGAGTACTGCAAATATTGTTCAAATCAATTTAGTGGAACACATTGAAAAATTGAAAAGAACAGAGCAAGTACACCCGCGGGTAACGCTAATAGTACCCTGCAATTGCATAGAGTTCGTTCGGACGCAAAACAGTGCGCGATGCGCCGAAACGATTCTTAACCCTTTGAGTGCCTGGAGCCGATATATCTAACATAAACACCGATGGTAAAGTACGGAAACTGCCTGGAAAACTGGAAAGGGTTTGCGTGGTGTGCAGCAGAAAGGATGGTAGCCCAAAGAGAAAATCACGCACAGTTTGCAATAAGTGCAACAAAGGATTGCATGGAGTGTGCATTAGTAGCCACGAATGCTAAATAAATTATTTGTTTGAGTTGCAATAACAAAATTTTACACATTTGCAATATATATATATATAAATATATTTATGACAACATAATTTTGTTTCAGTAATGTTATATTACCGATAACAATTACATATTTGTTCATTTTTGCTCCAAGCGACAACTTCGCCAGTAAAACAGGTGAAACATGGATAAGCTGGTTGCATTAAAAACCCCTTCGCTAATTGCTCCTAATTTATTGTCTAATTTCGAGTGTCCAATATGTAACGAACTATTTTATGGAACTGTGCAAATTTGCGTGAAGGGACACAGTGTTTGTGAGTCTTGTATTAAACAATTGGAAAGATGTCCTATGTGCGGTATGTTCTACAAAGGAGGACGAAATTACAGTTTGGAACAACTGCTGCGCTACATGAAACTACCTTGCATGTATAATCATAATGGTTGTACAAAATATTTAGCAACAGTAAATTTCAAGGATCATGTAAAAGTCTGTGCCTACAGGGATAGAAAATGTTTTGCTGCATTCGATCAGAACGAAGACTGCCAGTGGACCGGAACAATAGGAAATATGGTCAAACATTTCCAAAATGATCAAAGAATTAGTCATAGAAAATAAAAACTCATTTATTTGGAATTCAACAAATCTGAATTTGGAGCAAATCTCGTCGATGATAAATACTTCTTATTTCGTTGCAAACTAGCAGTCGGTACCAGAGAATCATTTGTTTTGCAATGGTACCAGCAATGGGTCTAATGAAGAAAACATCCAAGACATTACCCAAAAAGTTCAAAATCCTACTGGAAATTAACTTTCAAAAATTTTCAAATTAAACACAAATCCTTCCAATATTGCGATCTCCTTGATGATAATTTCGAGTTTATAAAATGTAAACGTAACCTTGATGTTATTTTAAATAAACGTAATTTCTGTCCTGAAATTTTCACAGGTGCCATCGAATTTAGCGCAGAGGTTGTTGATATGTGAAACGTAGAAAATTTTGTGAACATGCGATAAAACTTAATTATATTTTATATAGGATTTTAATACTATTTTAGCCTTGATGGCCATTTATTTTTAAAAATGTTTTTAATTGATAATAACCTAATACCAATTATATTTAATA